TTATTTCCGGTGTTATGCAGGGTTTTATGGCTTTGTTGACTGTGTTGGACCCATTGTGGCCCGATGTTTTGAAGAGTTTGTTGTAGAAATTACAAATCACTGAGATTATTTTATCCTCTTCGTAGTGTGCCAGACCCTCATCATCTTCCAAGACGGTAAGTCTATTTCTTGCTTGTCTTGCCTTTGTTGACGCATGGAAATAGGAAGTACTAGAGTCTCCGAGAGTTAACCACAGCTGTCTACTCCTTTTTTTCCAAAATTCTTCTTCCTTCTTGTAGTTCTGGAGTAAACTCATGTTCAGTTGATAGATTTTCTCCTCTTTGATTTCAGGATCCATCATCGCCTCATCTAGTTGCTCTTTTAGCCTCTCCAAGACTTGTCTGCTATTCTCATAAAACTCTTTGCTCCATTTGCAGATTGCACGACGGCAAAGGGAGAGTCTCTCCTCGACATGTAGATGCGGCACACTGTTCCAGGTATCCTTGATGATTTGTGTGACCTCCTGGTTATCTTTAAGGCGTCTGTCAAATCTGAAGATTTTATTTCCTTTTCTCCGAGTTGTGTCCAGGAACGTCAAGAGAGGACGATGGTCCGAGCCTTCGTACTTAAGATAGTGGCTTCTGCAGGATGGATATAAATCAGCCCATCCACTATTACACATTGCACGGTCCAATCTGCAAAGGACTACATGTGAGTTTCTAACTCCTCTCCAGGAATATAAATTTCCTTGATGCTTGATGTCAAATAGATCGTTTTGTGACAGGAAAGTTCGGAAGGCGCAAAACGTCCCTTCAGGCCTTACAATTCCTCCACTCTTTTCTCCATTATCAATGATTTCGTTGAAATCACCCGTCAGGAACCAAGGGCTCTCCCCGCTTGTGTGAAGGTTTTAATTTGGTTCCACACTGAGAATCTTTTTGTATGATCCGGCTCGCCGTATACGAAGGTACTATGAAAAGACTTCCCACACTGAGAAGACGTGTTGATTGAAACTTTGATGTCTTTTTTCCATATTAGGAGTAAACCTCCTCCTCCAGGGCTATGGGGGGGGGACTTTAAAATGATTCTCCAAGTTCAGCCAGTCGAGGGATTTAACAATGACATCCATGTTGTTTTTTGTTTCCATGAGGAAGATGATGTCCGGTGAATTCTTCTTGTGGAACTCCCGGAGTCGCTGAACTGTTATGGGGTTCCCCAGCCCACAACAGTTCCAGCTGAGAACTAAAGAATCAGAGCTGGAGGAAACCGAAAATCCTGTTTCCTCTTGTTTGTTGCGGGGATAAGTTGGATAGGTGGATTTCTTTGAGCCTCTGTATTGCGGTATTCCTTTCCTTGTTGAGTACCTCTTGAAGTTGATATCGTAGGATTTCTAGAAGTGCCAGCTCTCAGTGATACTGCTCCTTGAGAAGGTAAGCCTACGTTCATGTGCCCTTTTGAGGTTTCCACTACTACTGCTGGTGATCTTTGTATTTGGGAAATCTTTCGCTTTTTTGAACTTGTTCCTTTAAGCACATTAGGACTGGATCTTACTGGTCTTCTTTTTGTTGTTTTTGTAGTTCTCTTTCTGACCCTATTTTGGAATTCCTTGAGTGTTTCCTCAGCTACAGGTGTATCATTCTCCCTTTGTGTATTTTGCTTTGGGTACTCTTCTTCCTCTTGTGGGCTGATGATAATCGACTTGAGTTTTGCAGGAATGCTATCCTCTGGTTGATCTTTATCGTGTGGGTCAGTGTCTTGCTCTTCACGTCTTTCAACCCGAGTGCCTTGGTACTTTTCGCCTTGACGTGGAGGTGGCGTGTTGGGGTTGCTGTCTCCCGATCTATCAGGAGATGGTTCGTTTACTTTGGGTGAGAGTATCTCCAGAGAGTTATTTCTGTCTTTGTTGAGCCACAGGTTGGGACATTCAGTGTTACTTACTGCTTGCATCGCTAGCTCAAAATTCATTCCTGGAGGGCTTTCTTGTTGGATGCCACGTTCCCATGGGGATAGGGATCTTCTGTGTTCCCCATTTGTAGCCATTATTGCATTTACTACACTGTCAGTTTGTCCTTCCGCTTCTCCTACTAGGACTCTTTGTCGTCTTGCTACAGCTTCTACCCGTTCGGAAGTACTCAGGTATTGGAGTGTAGCATTCTGTACTTCCTGGAAAATTTTGTCCCTTGTACTTGAATTGTCTAGTTGAGGGCTCTGGTAATTGGACTTCTCTTTACCAGGTGTGATACCGTTGGCTCTCATGATGTATGCCGCAGTCTCCTCTGTTTGGCCGTTGGTATCGGTAGCCAAAACCCTTTGTCTCCTAGCCGCTGGTTCTGTAGGATCTGGGTGGTTTATATACCGTAACGTTGCTTCATCCAAGTCCTTTCTTATTTCATCTTCGGTTTGATACCGCGTTGGGTTCTGCTGAGAATGAGCACTCTGAGTCTGGTGTGGATTTTTTATTCTCCACTCCCTAGTCTCCCTTTGAGGGAATAGCGGTCGATTGATTCCATTTCTCGCGTCTCTTGTTTCTCTTGTTCTGGTAAACGATGGGGATTTGTACCCCGTCTCAGTTGTTTCTTGTTCAGCCGGAATTTTCCTCCAGGTTACATTACCAGATTTTCCTGGTCTTGTCTCATTTGGTGGGGGTGGTGGGACTCTTGTCTGCTTGGTAGAGACTCGATTTCCAAAAGGGTTGCCGTATCTGTCAAGTCTCTCTTGGTATCTCTCTTGACCTCCCTTATATCCTGAGTCTGCTTTGTCACTCCTGGGTTTGTCTGATGTTTTTATGAAGTTGTTGAGAGTAGGAGTATGCAGTCTCCTGTCTTGTTCTGAGATTTTTCGGTGATAGTATGGTTTATACTCCAGCTCTGGATCTTTTTCTGTGGTTGCAGTAACTTCGAGCTTGCTTTCTTCCAGTTGAGGGCAGTCTTTCTTCAGATGCGACAGAGAGTTGCAAGTATCACAGTGATTTTCCAGTCTTTCATACTCCAAGTGAATGAGACTCTCCTCCCCAGTGTTGAATTCTACTATCGATTTTTTAGTTAGCGGTTGTAAGCCATCGATTAAGACTTTGACTCTTGCAGTTTTCTTTGTCAGTTCATGATCCAGGAGTGTTCCTAGAGCCTTTCCTATGTAACAAACCATATCCTCCATCCAGAAGTGAAGAGGGAGACCCTTAATACGGATCCAGAACGGGATCTGGGAGGGGAAAGTCGGAGAAATGATCGGTTCCCATCTTTGTAAGATGACCATCCAATAGTTATACTGGTACGGTCTGTTGTCAAGCACTCTCTGGAGGTCTTCTTCTCTGTCGAACCTAAATTGGAAACAGCCGTTTCCAAGGTCAGATCTAGTAGCTCGCCCTTGGATGTGCCATTTGCGAGGTAGTGCATGTATTAGCGCATAGATCCTTTGCTCCTTTGGGTTGGTGACTCTACCGATGAGTGTTAACGCATTATCTTTGATTAGGGCTGAGTTATCCACATTAGGGGTTTTGATGCGCTGGATGAGTGGATCATCTCTTGCTTGGATAGGACCCTTTCCTTTTTCCTCCTTTGTAAAGCGGTGTGTCATGGCTTGAGTGTTGTGTTTGTAGTATGTGAAGGAGATGGAGATTGTTGCTTTGAAGAACGGGAGAAAAGTCTTTGATTCCGAGAACGCTTGCAAGATCTGGTGAAGATTTTTGGTTGGATTTTGAAATTTGAAAATTTCCGTGGAGGATGCTTCTTCTGGAAAAAGAATAGGGCTTCCTGGTTGGTGCTTAGTAAAACCCCGCGGTTTCTTTCCAAACTTGGTAGCTTCTTGAAGTGTCGTTTTCAGTTTATTGACCGTTGAGGTTTGCGCTAAGCTGTCTTGGGAGCCGTGTCTGGGAGAGTCCTTTCTCACCGAGACATTTTCAGTTAGTTCTTCATGTTTAGTAAGAAAGAAAAATAAATCTAAAATCTAAAAATAACTGAAAATAAGTATAGATAAGTCTATAGTTGAGTTAGTATCATTTCAAGGTAACCACACAAAATTCAAAATGGTTGGGTTGGCAAAAGTCTCACTAGGCTTAAATTGTATAAACATGATCTTCTTGAATTTGAGAGATATAGATACATCAAATATATTTCCTTTAATGGGACTTTTGAAAGTGATGGTGAAAGACTTTTCATTGTGAATTCTGTAGAGATTGCCATAAGAGAAACGACAAAGCATGCGAAAGAGTAAAAAGAGGCTGCTAATAGGTTTAGTATAAGAACATAAGAGACCATAGTCAAGATATTTTCTCTAGTTACTGAATATGATTGACTTGGAGGATTCTAGAGTATCCTTGATAAATTGACTTTTCAATTTAGTTCAATAATAAAACAGAAGAAAACTCTTACGAAACTAAACAATCCAAAACCAGAACATCTGCAATAAAATCCACCACTTAGGTCATGTCTAGTTCTATTTTTTCGTCCCGACCACAACACTTCTTGTTCTTCTTTTTCTAGTTCTAAGCTTAGCATAACAAACCTCTGTCGACATAGACAGTCCTGTCTGGGACATTCCTTCAAGATCATTCTGTTTATCTCAACAAAGCAACTTCGCAAATTCTCAGTTCTCCCGCAACCTTAACCGTGTGGTCTCTTCAAGTCCTTCTCTCAAACCCAACACTTACAACTTTTACAACCTCTTCNTCTTCTTTTTCTAGTTCTAAGCTTAGCATAACAAACCTCTGTCGACATAGACAGTCCTGTCTGGGACATTCCTTCAAGATCATTCTGTTTATCTCAACAAAGCAACTTCGCAAATTCTCAGTTCTCCCGCAACCTTAACCGTGTGGTCTCTTCAAGTCCTTCTCTCAAACCCAACACTTACAACTTTTACAACCTCTTCATCAGAAGATAATCAGATCAAGAACGAGTAGAAGCCATAGGACTATGCAACAGAGTACTCACACGAGTAGATGGTCTCAACTGTATCTCCCAAGCTGCAGTAAACCTAACCACAACGTGTTGTCGACAACATAGAGGAGCTAACGTGCGCGCCACAAAATGTATGTTTCGTTACTCAGACAAACCCATTTTCCTGTTCTCGAGGCACCTAACCCTTACAACACAACGGGAGATAGCAGCGAGTATATTGGGTTGCAGGGCGAGTTGCTTAACCGACTCGGACAAGTTGCTGCAGCAGGTGGTTCTAAGAGGAAGTATGCACAAGGAGATGGCCCTGCTTGTCCACTTTACACTAGATTCTTCGCTTCCGTGCAGTGTACGCCAGAATTGTCTGAGAAAAACTGCAATGATTGTCTCACTTACGGTTTTGAGAACGAGACCAAAGGGAGAATAGGGATCAGGTGGTTTTGTCCGAGCTGTAATTTTCAGATAGAGAGTGACTTGAGATTCTTCCGTCTCGAGTTCCAGTATCAGCCTGATACACCAACAAAGCCAGGTCAAACAAAGTACTCTGCATTTAGTGTCAGGAAGTAGGTCAAACTCGTCCCGCTTGACCTGCGTTGTCACGGATCGAATCATTTTATGATCAAAAATCTGACCGGCATAACTCGCAAAAAAATAGTTGACCCACACTCAGAGCCGGTCTTGAAGAATTGGGGGCCTCAATCTATTATTTTATTACAACATATTAATATTTGTCTAAAAAGATTTACAAAGAATTTTTTTTTTTAATTATAGTGATGGTTTAATTAAAAATAATAATTTCCAAAGAAAATTATGTTGATAAAGAGAAGAAACGTAAGGAACAAGATTTTCCTTTTTCAGAAACCAGATTTAATTAAAAAAAAGGAATTGAAGGTTTAGTTTTAAAAGAAAATTATTCATGGAACTGAGTTTACAAAGAAAATTATTTATATAACTTAAGTCACTTTCTTATATTAGAGTAATTTAATTTCTAAAAATATAATTAAGTGTTAATTTACAAAAAAAAAATAACATAGATAACTTTTTTTAAGTGGGTACTCTATTCCAATGTTTCACCTCCCTCCTCCATACATGCCCGACTCTGTCCACACCCCTCCGCTAATTGTCTTTTAAAGATGTGATTTGAAGACAATATAATTTGTTAGAGTATGATTAACTCCGATCTTTTATCAGAGGTTCTTAACTCATGATTTAATTTTATTTTTTACATCTTTTAACTAATAAATGATTTTTACATCTTACTTTTTCTAGTTAAAATAAAAAAAAAATCTAAGAAGCGTCAAAACTAAGAACACCAGTTAAGAGACTAGGATTAATCATAGTTTTAGACATCTCAAGAGCTATGGTTTTTCCCTTGTTCGCTTTTTGGCTGTGTTGTGCTGTATTTGTATCTGATTTGTGCTTTTTCGAGACAGAAAAAGATTACCACAAAGAAACTTTTGCAGATCATGTGTTGTGTCTATGTCTGGTATATAGTACCGGTTTTGACATAGGAAAGACCAGAAGCAATTTTCTAAAAATTGGCCATTTTTATAATACCGTTTATATACCATAATAATAATTTTCTTCTTAAAAAGCTGGTTTTTTTAAATATTTTTTGAGGACTGGAAGTTGTTGCTTGTAATGCTTCCCCTCAGGACCGGTATTGCTAATATACGTAGTTGTTCTTGTGCATGCATGTTCTATATTTCATTGTGGTGGTTCTTGACAAACTTATTTGTTAACCTGTCTTTTTGTTTACAAACCCGGATCTAAGATTTTGAGAGTAAAATATTTCTTAAAAACATTAAAAATTGAGGGGACCAAAGTCAATGTTAGAGATTTATTCCTATGTTAAAAATCTCTAAAAGTTTTAAGAGTCAAGTTGAATGTTATATTCGGCTGTGTCAAGATTCGGCCATGTTTATGCAGGCTTCATCTCAGTTCTCTAATTAGTGACATATCGACCATTTTTCAGAGTACTTCCAAGCTGACACGCCCTTGAATTAAAGTGAAGGTTCCTAATGGTTTCGAGAGAGAACATGATAAAATGGCCACGCTAGGGAGCATTTTTTTTTTGTAACAAGGACACTTTTCTTTACTGATGTAATTTTGTGATATAACCCGTTATTAGATTTTATTTTTATTTAGCCGATTATGAAAATGAATACATGCAATATTATAACTAAGTTATAATATTGGTAAAACATAAAAAACTTGTTATAAGTTGTCTAAAACCATCGAATAATAGACATAACTATACAAAGAATCATTATTATCTATGTAAATAGGTAATATATGTACTTATTTACTAAAACTAAAAACTAATGAAAAACAATCATTACCACAAATTTTGGTGAACTGATTTTATATCAAAATATTCTTTAAATTAAGACAAAACCCAATTATATAAAATTTTAATCATAAAAAAATTTTTGCGCTTTTCAAGCGTGGTTCAAATCTAGTATGTACTTATTTGTATATTCGGCTACAACTTCATTGTTGAATCTACACTTTTATTATCCAGCTACTATATTTTATTCCTCTTTCTTATTAGAATTAGTCGCGTCAACAAATACATAAACATATACAATGCCACAATTTATATTGACATCCATTTTAATATCTGGCTATATTTTCAATTATTTATTCATCTTAGCCGGCATCTCTGCAAGTACATAAATGTATACAATGCCACTATAACATTGACATCAATTTTAATATCCGGCTACATTTTAAATTTCAATTATTTATTCAACTTACCCAGCTACTCATTCTATAATAAGTAAGTAATATTATATGGCCAGGTATTAAACTAAGTATCTCTATAATATTTTTTGAGAAGTCAGTTTCCTACGTGTCGCGCTCACGTTAACTTTCGCGATGGTTGATTACATAGATACCCTTAATGAATTGTTAGATTTTAAGATTCTTTTTTTTATTTAGTTTTTTTTCAACTTTTACCAAATAACATATATAATAAAAAAGAAATATTTCTAAAATTTTAAAACAAAATAGAAAACGAAAATATATGTATATAATATGATTTTATTAAAAAGGAAAGTTCACAAAATAGTAATACCCCCATTTCAAATTACATAAAATATATTTTCAAAATAATAAAAATATATATGTTCATGAACATCAAAAAGTATGTCAGTTATACTTTATTTTCTAATATTTTTAGAAATAAACTTATTATTTGATAAATATTCTGAAAATACATGTATATATAAGCGATAAATAAAACTAATTTGATTTGACTTAACTAAAATAAAGAGTAAATAAATATTTTGAAAATACATGTATATTTAAGAGATAAATAAAACTAATTTTATTTGACTTAACTAAAATAAAAAGTAATTATACTTCAGTTTTAAGAAACATTTCTAAAATTTTAAGACAAATTTAAAAACGAAAATATATGTATATAATATGAATTTATTAAAAAAGAAAGTTCACAAAATAGTAATATCTCCATTAATATATATTTTTAAATAACATAAAATATATTTTCAAAATAATAAAAATATATATGTTCATGAACATCAAAAAATTTATCAGTTACACTTTATTTTCTAATA